AAACCCTATTCCAATTTCAAGGCCCCTACATCAGGTTGCATTTACGGCTGTGTTTGATTTTACGGACTTGCGCCCTTAGGGCTTCACCTAAAACATCAAGACCCGATCCCGGTGCCAGACCAAACCGCCGATAGTCTCCTTGGAAGTTCCTTTTTGGGGGTTATAGGGACTACAATATAGTCGTATTCCTTAATTAGTTGTAAACTCCCTGAACCTTGTTCCATTGATTGAATTCACTTCGTGAGGTGGCCGTGGAGAGGCACAGCCACTGCTTCTGTTGGGCTAAAGCTTGGGTCCTCAAGCGCAAGAGCCGAATGCTCCTTTGAGTCCTACAGTCCTACAGTATGAACCTTATATAGGCCCAAGAGTATCTGTCGCCCCAATCTGACGATGCTGGGTATACATCTTGCGTGCTTTCTGAGATTAGCCTGCAGAGTTTAGGCATTTAAGGTTTTAGGGTGCAGGGCGTCGATGTTCAGGGTTTAGGGCTTGAGGTTGAGCGGATATCCTGAATTGTGCTGTATGGCAGCGATCCGAGAATCCTGAAAAGAAACAGCAGTTCGGTCTGCTTTTTTTAGTCAACAGTGCTTCAAGATGTTCAAGCGATTCGTGCCTTCTCCTTTCTGTCATTTTTTACTGACTACGTCATCCGATCCCTAAACCCAAACCTGTACACCAAAAATCCTATAATATAGGGGCCTAAATATTTAGAATCGGGTTTGGGGTATATTATACGATAATTATAACAAGGAGCCCCCAAAACCCTATTCCAATTATTAAGTCCCCTATATTATAGGATTTCCCGAAGCCAACGAAGCCGATGGAGCCCCTTTCCGCGTCGAAGTTTGGAATCCCAACCACCACCGCTGTCGGCCTCCCACACTGGTGAGCCCTAAAGGGTTCTAGGGTTTAGGTGCTTAGGGGTTTAGGGGTTTCAGGGTTCAAGGTTTAGGCTATGCGGGTCGAGCTTGCAAGGGCTGGCATGTCCCATCAGAACTCGGATTAGCTGCCCCGGTGTCCGATTCTTGTTTGGGGAATACCTACAGTCTCCATTGAAATTCCTTTCTGAGGTTCCCTTATAGGATCCGATATATAGGTCTGGTTAAGCCACAATGCAGACTGTGGGTAGACTGTGCAGAAGTTCATAAAGCCTCACAAACTCGGGCTTGATCTGCTCGTGCCAATCCTCGAAACCGTAATCCGAAATCTTGAACATGGCTTTCTGAGGGCGCAGGCCTCTTGCTCTTCTAGCAGAGTCATCGGCGCTGCGCTTAGCCTTCTTTCCTTCTTTGCTTCGACAGCCTTTTGTGTGGCTTCATGGAAACAGTTATAAGGCTTAAATCCCTAACTTTAAACCTTAAGTATGGTTGTAAGTACCTTGATCAGGGCAGGAAGCAACCTAAGCATTATGACCCGAGTTTGAAAAGTCCTTGGATCCTATGCCCTGAACCCCGTGTAATCCGTGCAGCCCCTTCTACGTCCTGAAGTCGCTACAGTCCTTTCAGTGGGCCGTACGTATTCTGTTGTTCCGAATATCGGCGGCAATACCCTAAGACTGGGTTTGCGGCATTTACGGTTTAAGATTCACAACATTTGGGCCCCAAATACCTATCTAAGCATGCTTGAAGGCCTTAGGTACTCTACAGGTACAAGGACTGGAGGATGCAGAGTCAGAGTACATGGTAGTTCGGTTGAATGCTCTTCTCCAGTGATACCTACAGCTTGAGACCCACAGTGGCGCTCAGGATTTATACCCCCAACCCCTTTCCATAAAAAGAGCCATTCAAAAGATTGGGAGCCTTTGTTCCAGAGAAGGAGTCTTGCCTGGGAAGTTACAGCAGCAGGATCTAAATCCAACAGCCGCAAACCCAGGACGCGACTCGTAATTACTACCGTTAACCGTTCGTTCAATCCTAAAGTTTATTGCAAGGATAGCATGCCGTGGTTGGAATTCCACTTAGTTTCCGGTTGTGGCGCCTGGAGCTTACGTAGTGTGTTTAGGCCTGATATGGTCCAGGCTCTTGGCTTCGGGCGTAAAGTTCCCTAAACTCTATAGCCCTCAGCTCTCAAATCTTAAAGCCGCCTTAAAACCCTAAAGGCCTCACAGATTTGGTAGAGTCATGTGCTGCTTGTGGGTCGATATATTGTGAGAACCCAGCCATCGAAAGAAGAAGCAAGGATTGCCGCCTTATACGGAGGTTTCTGACGTTAGGTTTCGGGAGAGGTGCGCAGGGTTAAGTTATGTACATATATGGACATATATATATATATGTACACACATGTGATGATTATTTACGTGTACATATGTATAGCAATGTATGTATGTATGTATGCATGCATGCATGCATGCATGCATGCATGCATGTATGTATGTATGTATGTATGTATGTATGTATGTATGTTCAGGTGGCTCTTACAAGCAAGCCTTTTCGTAAGGATGTTTCGGGTTTTAAAAAACGGAACCTCTACATTCCAACCTAGTCAAGAATTAGGAGAGGAGCCTCTTGAGCAGAATTACCGAGAGGGCCCATGAATGCTTAGAGTTAGTTCCCCAATACCCAACCTTTAAACTTTTCGGGCTCTTATAACTTAGTAGTAACATGAAAGTTGAGCCTTCTATTTCCCTGGCTTCTTGGGGAAGTAGGTAGAAGTTGGTTTCGGCTCCAGGCTGGTTGGTTCAGGGTTCGGCGCACAGGGCTAAGAGGCTCATAGACCCCAAACCCTAAACCCTAAACCCTTACCAACGCGATAAGTATGTGGAACCACGCCTGCCCAACACGGGCTCTGAAGCGCCAGTGACAGAAAAGGCCCTTAAAAAAAAAAAAAAAAAACCTTACCCCCAAAAGGCCGCAACAGCTGTAGGCGTCGATTCCACCCACATGGACCCCCTGGAGTACCACACCTTCATCCAGGGAGATGTGGCCAAGCAGGCGCTTCAGCTACGTAAGGCCGCCAACCCTGAACTCCTTAAGCACCGAAACTCTCTGCAATGCTACAGCCTAGAGACTTTAGGGTTTAGGGTTTAGGGTTTAACCCTTGAAGCCTAAAACCCTATTTAGCCCTAATGACACCCTGTATCACCTTCCAGTGTCCCCATATGAGCTTGGACGCCAGACTTCTCGAGCTCTATATGCCTGAAGGGCGAGGGCTTTGGGGTTTGGGTTTAGGGTTTAGGGGCCTTCATCCAAAGTTTGGAATCCCTTAACCGTGACCATTGAGGCCTAAACCCTAATAGAAGAAATCATGGAAGCTCAAATACTTGGTAACAGTCTGCCTTGTAAGGGGTGGGGGCTGAAGTAGCGGGTTCCACAATGGTTCTATAGGGTTCAAGAGCTTAGAGCCTATAGGTTCTTTATAAGAGTTATGTCGTTGCTTCTCCCCGAAAAGTCATGAAACTCCATTCTAACGATATCAAAGCCGTCTTTTTCCAACTCGATCCCAAACCCCAAACCACCGTTTTGTCTTGATCCCAATCTGGGCACAGGGTCTAGGGAGCTATAAAGGATGCTGTAATAGTACAAATACCAAACCTATTCCTTAGGGCAACTCTTGTAAGCACCAAAACCCAAACCCCAATTCTAGTTGGTAAGGCCCTTGTGCTAGGCGCGTGTCATTCAATGAGATGATGTGACAAAATGTACGAGTCGGGCAATTGCCTGCGACCTTCTCCCCTAGCAAACACCCTTCATAGTAGCACGAGACGGCATAAGTGAATTGGTTGCTTTTGATGTTGCTCCTATGGGTGCCGGGTTTGGGAGATGGGTTGCACTTTGCCTCTGTTTGTTTTGCTCGTAGTTGGTTCTTCCAGGCAGCAAGGGGAGCTTCAAGGCTAGAGAGAGACTGTAGCTGTATCAAAGTACCTGCGCTGCATGCCGCATGCCTGTCTGAACTCTGTTGCAGCGTTGCTCAAAGATAGGTGATCGTCCCAGCCCGGGACTTGTAACCAGAGCGCATTGCAACGATGCCGAACGGTGGCCGACGCCGCCGCACCGAGTGGGAGCAGTGGAGGCAACAGGGGCCTGGCAGGCCTCCGCGAAACACGCTTCAAGACTCTCGATCCGTCTATCGATATCTGTCTACGGCTTATCTACTGACCTACCCACCTGCGTACCGACCGCCCGCCGACCGACCTGCCTGCCTGCCTACCTACCTACCCGTAGCTCTCTTTCTATCTTTGTTTCGATGTATCCATAAATCTGCCTGCCTGCCTACCTATATTAAACAGATACACGAACACATACATATGTTCACGGAATTTACAAGCTGCTCCTCCACTCACTCATGCTCCACATCAATAGCAATACAATGATATGACTTAATTCCTTGGTCATAATAGGAATATCGGTTAACAGTAAAAGAAATATAGTGATAGTAATAATAATCACAGTAACAACAGGATTAAACATGATTATATAATATTATTATTACTATTATTCATCTCTCCGTCGGCAGCTTTCCTTGACCCAATGTGCCAGGCGATACAGGAGCTCTCCGTGGCAAGACTTTGACATGAACCGCGGCAAGGACCTCCTTCACAACTACCGCGTCGCTGGGGAGCAGCTATACAATTACACATTCAGCACCCAGGTTCCCGAATTTCAAGGGGAAGAGATGCCAAGCGCCGCCTCGTGGAACATGATGAGTGCAATGACGCAGAACTCTAACCAGATGCTCATGCAAGAAGGAATCGGGTGGGGTGGCTTCGTCAACGTGCCAGCGGCTGCTCCGCCGCCCTCGCCCTTCAGCAATGATGTCCATCTCATCATCGACAATATCATCCGCTTGCAGTGCATGGGACCTCAGCAAGCCGAGAAGATCTTGAGGGACACGGCGGCCCAGCAGGGTCCATATGAAGATTAGAGCTCTTTGTATCGTTTCGGAAAACCCTTTGAGGTCGCAATGTCAATGTGTGCAGTAATTCAGAGTGGCGATTTGACAATGGACGGAGTCTGGCCCGACCGGGCCTGCATGCATCTGTCGAAAGCTGTGTGCTGAGCGCTGTCTGCACTGCAAGTATATCCCTAAGCCCCACCTTGAGCCGAACGACCGGCGTATAAAGCTTTCTTGCTTATTGCATCGCTATGCTTTCCCCTGGGGCCCGAGTTGCCTGAATAGTAGTTCCTAAACCCAACGAAACCCTAAACCCTAAACCCATAGTTTGCTGGGGTGCCTACCAGATGGTTAGTAACCTATTATTCCGGTAACTGGAGCCCGAGGGCCTAGGGTATGCTTTCCATACCAGCCAGCCCTAAGCGTTTAGGGTTTAGGGTTTAGGATCAGGTTGATAGGGCTTACAGGGTTTAGGGTGTAGGGTTTAGGGTGTCTAGAGGCCGTAGCATCTCCACCACCCCCTCCTGATCGCGTGGCGCCAGGGGTTTGGTTTGAGGATTTCTCGGTATCGCCGAGAGCTGCTCTCATGATCGGTGCTATTTGCAGCCCCCTCTTGAATCGTCTTGTCAACAAGCGGTGGGTATTCGGATGCCATAAACCGTGAACCCAAGACCCAGCACCCCGAACGCTGAGTGTACCCCGTGGCCCTCAACTCTAGCAGCTGAGTCTCTGGATTTGGGGGTTGAGGCGTTTTTGGTATTTGGCAAGCTGCTTGTCCCTACCCCTACCCCTACCCCGGAACCTTCAACGGCAGGGGACCGTTCGAAGCATCATCGAAGCGCGGACGCCCTAGCTTCTGAGGGCTCTGTTTGTTGGGGGGGGGGGGAGTTCTGGTATTTCGGCGGGACACGGCTTGATTGAAGGCTGCTCCTTGCTGTTGGCATTGTGCTGGCCGACTTCCATGTCAGAACGAACATGAAGTAAAGCAATCCGGCTTGACGAGCGTGTAGGGCTTACTTTTTAGGGTTTGCTGCGCAGCGGTTTGGAGCGCTTCCCAAGCTTTGAGTATTCCCTGCACCTGTGTCTATCGTGCACTTTCGACCGTCCCGCATGGAATCTAGCTAACAAGTCTGATGTGTCCGATGGCGAGACAAGAAATTGCCCAACAACCCTAAACCCTGTATAAACCCAATTTGTACACACACACAAAAAACAAAGTCCATGGTCCATGTAGAGCCCTGGTGACTGGAGCCAGGCTTGTCATGACCAGAAAGATAGGATGCTTGTCAAAGTCCTTGTTAGCGAAGGTAGTGTGTGAATGAGGGGTCTACATAACCCAACTCGTTCCTTCAACCGCAATTTTATGCGCATGGCGCTTAGGGAAAGAAGCGCGCTTTCAGTCGAAGGATTGGGAGATTGACGATGGTTTTGGTATCTGTTCCAGTCATTTGTGCCCTCTTTATACTATCGCGCTTAAACCCTAAAGCCCTACGCTGCAAACTCTTTACCTAAACCTGAGACCTTGAACCTTGTACCCTAAGCTTAATCCTTTTCAGTCCTGAATGCCGTAGACCTTATACCATAAAGCCCAAGCCTAGTCCAGAAACGTCCGAAAGAACAGACATCATCGTCCCCCAAATCCTCCTACGGCCAGACATGAAGCATCCTCAAGAAGATTTGGTGCTCAGGGCGGAACGATAGACTCTAAACTAAACTTTAAATCCTAAACCCTAAACCCTACAGCTGAAGGCTTGGAGGGACGAAGGCAGATGTTGTCCTATCAGACCTCGCCCCACGCGTGACAGGCAATCGTAAGAGGGTTTTTTGGGTTTTGGGTTTAGGGTGCTCTTCAGAAGGATTGGGTTCAGGCGGTTTCATTAGGGTGTTAATAGGGTTCAAGGTTGAAGCACCCTCCAGCCGCAAATTCTTTCCGGAGTCTATTTCAAATTAGCAGAGCCGTGAAGATGCAGGTCGTTTGAGCTGCAGAGATGGGTATCAAGGTTGCGGGGTACGGGTGTCGGCCGTCGGGTTCAAGGTGCAAGTGCTTAGGACTTTAGGGCTTAGGGCTAATATAGTCTAAACTCACGATATTGTGTTTTGTGGAATAGCCTTGAGCTGAAGGGTATAGTATAGCATCAGAAACAAAGGAGGGTGCTGAGTCACCAGGGTTTGTGGTTTAGGGTGTTCTATGTTTATGTCATCAAGGGTACATATGCCCACACAATATATTCTTCCTACATAGGCACTGTCGGTTCCAAGTTTTTACCGTATGGGCACATGGACAGTGAAGTAATTCGGGTCATTATCGAGGGCGACGCGGCAGGTAGGGCTCGTAGGTGGTGACAAACCCTCTCTGATTCAAAAAGAACTGAACCCTAAACCCTAAAAACTATAAATTATTCTGCAGGTCTCAGCATACCCTAAACCCTAAAAATTCTAAATTATTCTGCAGGCCTCAACAAACCCTAAACCCTAAACCCGAAACAGCTCTGTCGACTTCTTGGCCTCGGCTTCTCCCAGTGCGAAGGCCAATCCTAAACTACCCTGGGCCCTGGATCCGCCAGTCCTTCACCAAACCCGTCTTATAGTATGTTACACTTTATCATCGTATTATATCATAGTATATTACGTACAGTATGTTATAGTATATTACAGTATATTACAGTATAGTATAGTATAGTATAGTATAGTATAGTATAGTATAGTATAGTATATTATACTAAGATTATAGTCTGTTGTAGTAAGATGTGTGCAACGACACCCTGAGGCCGAAGCCCATGACAGCCACGAGCCCTCCCCCGCACGCCTGGAGCGAAGCTGATGGGTTCTGCTGCAGGTCTCAAGCAGGAAGACCACATTAACTCAATGCAATGCTCGGCCCTCACCGCGGATGGTTCAGGGCTTCGGGGGTTGAGGCTTTAGGATTTTTCTGGCGGAGATGCTACACTCCCGCAGTGGAGGAACACCCCTGGTATAACTCCTATTTGGGCCACTTGCAATTAGATCTTGTCGGCAGGAGTCAAGGATTCTATACTCTAGTTCCTGTTTGGTTTCAGGATGGATCCCTAACAAAAGCAAGGGGTCGTGAAGTCTCCGAAGAAGGGGCCATGCACTTCAGGTCGACAAGCCTTAGAGTAAGCTTGTGGAGACATGCGATACTCTCGTCATATAGGGACTATATGTATTTCAGTTTCTCCCCCTATAGCCCTTGTGTATAGTTACACGATGACTACCCTAAACCTTGAACCCCATGGCCAAACATACCCCGGCCTCTATCGTAGTAACAGCGAGTGGAGCATCCGATCCCGAGAGATGAAGCGGCAGCAGAAGTCAGAAGAACCAGGACCTCCCAAGGTACCTTTAGTTCAGGATTTTGGGGTTTAGGGCTTAGTTGTAGGGGTTTAGGGTTTGTAAGGGCTTCAGAGGCTTATTGTGTGCCGGGATGGAGGTATCCTGTTTCAGGGTTAGGTTGTAAGCGATGTTGTTGGCATTGGTTGTCCAGCGAAGCATGAGATTTCTGGGTTCTCGACAATTGCCACTTGCGTGCAGAAGGCTCGCTGTATGCTGCCAAGATAATGGATAAGATGCTTGTCTGCACATGAGTGGGAGGGTTTTTGCTCCGGGAACCCTGGCGAGTCAATATGGGAGTTCCCGAGATTAAGGTTTTAACATTAATTCAGGACTTCCTGCGACCAGGACCTGTGATTCTAGAAGCCTCTCACAGGCTTGGCTGACGTTCGTAGAGTATGAACAATGACTTTTGAGAGGGTATAGGTAATCTGATTCAGAGCGGGAGTACGCTGGAGGGACTGCACTGCTGAAAGTAGCAAATATCCCGAAAGTCTACAGCCTCTAGACTCGTCTTGTCCTTTACAGAGTTCTCGGCACAAGTCGTTCGATGGCTTCGGTACTTTTGTGTGGCTCCCCAAGCACTTCGGGTTTCAGGGCGTGAGCGCCCTGGCTTTCTCTGCACGGTATTAGCCATGAGGAGGAGGAGGAGGGTTGATGATGGTCATTTCATGATTTGAAGGCAGCGAGTGTGATGGCGATGATGATGGTCTGTCGACCATGACGATAACCCATCAGAGAGTACAGGAGGATGATGCACGAACGTCCAAAGCTGCGAATAAATGTGTAGTCGTGACGATGTGTAGTCTTATCGATCTCCGTATTGACTCCCCTCAGCACCCCGAAATACAGAATCAGGGTACCTGCGGCATGGATGTGAAAGACCGCTCGTGTTGACGATTGCACATCAAAGGCACAGGGCCAGGTTCCACTCGCAGGATCATGGGTAGTTTTTATCCCGGTTTATGTCCCTCAATATGGGATATAAATACAACCCTAAACCCTAAACCCTAAAAAATACAGCTACCCTACTTATAACCCCACTTCTAAGTACCCATGAGCCTCCAGGCACTACACTACTTGCAGGCTCTTGAAACTTTGGGGTCTCGGGTTTACCCTATCAGCTCTAGGTTTTCGGGCTCTGCAACCTGCATCTACAAAGACCTCGCTGAAGCTGCTTGCAGGTTTAGGGGTTTAGGGTTTAGGGGTTTAGGGTTTAGGGTTTGTGCATAGTTTCGGCTGCATGCAGGGCACAGCAGCTGGAATCGAATTTGTCTGGTCTATCTCCGACTCTGATCCGCTGGGCTCCCGATATTAACCTTGCCCCGGCGTGGACAGTGTATGTTTACGCATTATAGTATGGCGTATGTGAACATTTATATATATATATATATACACTGTTGCACATACATACATACATACATACATACATACATACATACATACATATTTACATACATGCACATGGTATATGATGCATGTGTATCTCTGCCCCTCTCTCTCTCTCTCTCTTCGTATGTCTAGCTATCGATCTACATGTATCCCCATGCAGGTAAAGATGCACTACGTATGCGAAACGCATATCTCCCTATCGACTTGTTTCCGTTCGAGTCAGCGAGAGAGACCGAGGGAGGAAAACATACGATGTCCGATTCTTCTCTTGGTTTTGGGTAACCCTAAGGGTCCATGTGCCCACATAATATATACTTTGGCAATACAAACCAGTCCCTATATCAAGATATATACTATATCCATATCCTCCATTGTAGTTCCTTCTTTAGATTACCTTATAGGATCCTAAATATGAGCCACGAAAAGGGAACTGCAATGAAGCCTATAGGTATGGGTACATGGACCTTTAGGGTAAGCCGGAACATTGGCCCGACTCGCACGCGCTGAAAACCGACGTAACAATTAACCCCCCCCCCCAAAAAAAAAAGTGCCGCTGTTATAGGGTTTAGGCTGTAGGGTTTATAGGGTTTAGGGTGTATATGTATATATATATATATATGTATATGTATATATATGTGTATATACCCTAAACCCTAAACCCTAAACCCTAAACCCTAAACATATTTATTTATTTATGTATGCTGGAACTTATCCGGGAAGCTCTTTGGGGTTGAATGAAGCAAGCCAAGGACATTGCGACTCGGTGGTTGGTTCGTGGTACGAAGCATGGCCGGGCCTTCTGTGTGGCGCGGTTTAGGGTTTAGGGTTTAGGGGTTGAGGGGTTGAGGGTTTAGGGTTTAGGGTTTAGGGCTTAGGAGGATTGTTGGGCTTTAAGGCTTCAGGGTTGAGGGTGCAGGATTGAGGGAAGTTGACAGTTTAGGAATGTTCAGGATTCCGGGCTTTTGGAGTACATGAATTGTATAAGCTTGTTCAGGAGTTCAGAGTGTAGAGATGAGGGGGTGCAGGGTAGGATGTAGGAGTCTAGAAGCTCAGCCGCCTATGTAGTGGGCCACTCAGCCATTCTACTCTGTGATGTAGCCGAGTAGATAAGTATCCGAAGACTCCCAAATCACAGGATTTACGGTAAACTCTTGAAATTTTGAGCCTAAACCCTAAACCCTAAACCCTAAACCACTAAACCCTAAACCCGAAACCCCGGGACCCTCCGTCTAAGTAGGCTCCTCGGCCCTTTCTTGTTAAGGGTTTAGGGTTCAGGAGGTCTTCGGGGACAGCTGCCCACCATCTTGCAGCGCTACAGATCGGAACCCAGGGAAGCCGTAATATAGGGACCATACTAATTGCCTATAGTATTTTGGGAGTTCCTGATTATGATTATAGTTACCTATACTATTTTGGAAGTTCCTTATTATGACCCTATTATTCTGAATGAGTCGTTCTCTAAACTAGGGTCCGTGTTTAGGTCCTGCAGATAGTACGGCACCCGTATATAAAGCACCCGAAAAGGGACCCTAATCTAGAGAAGTGCCCAAATCGGAACTTCCTGAAACGCCACACCATTGCAGATCCTAATGTAGCTTACATAAAGTAGAGCCTACACCCTAAACCCTAAACCCTAAACCCTAAACCCTAAACCCTACTACATGATCTCAAGTCAAGCCCTCTGGTGCCAGTTCGGCGCGGAGCAGGACCACTGGAGGACGTGGGGGCCTTGGGCGGACCTTATGGACGAAAAGAGCCCTAAAAGGGTTTAGGGGTTTAGGGTTTAGGGTTTAGGGTTTAGTTCATATACCATATAGGGATTCATGGTATAAGGGTATAGGGCCCCTACTTTTAAGGTTTTTTTTGGTGCTTAAGGAAAGAGCCATATTGATATGCGGGGCCTCGACGCAGGAACAGAGATCCCAGTCCAGGAAGTTCGCATCTAAATTTTGCTGCGTGCTTCGCAGTTGTTGGGCAGGTTTTACCTGTAGTCTCCATTGTAGTTCCTTTTTGGGGTTACCTTTTAGGATCCTCAATATAGAAATGGTTAATCCAAAAAAAAAGGAACTACAATGGAGACTATAGGTAGGATTTTAAGTTTCGGGTTTCGGGATTCAGGATCTGGCTTTGAGCCCTTCGTCAGGTGCGTGGGTCTAGTACCGAAGCCGTTTTGGGGCTTTTCAGGGTTTAGGGTTTAGGGTTTAGGGTTTAGAGCTTTCTGTTTTAGAGGGGTTTAGGGCGTTGGCGTGTAGGGATCCGAACCGTTTGAGGGCATTGAGGTTTCATGGGTTTGATGCCTATGGGATTCTGGACGTTTCGGGCGTCAGGGCTCTGTGGCTAGAAGTTTAACGTATTGGAGTTCAGGAGCGAGGTGTTTGATGTGTGTACTCGGTTTCCAGTGCTCAAAGGACCACATCAACACGGAAAGCTACCCCAATCCCGATAAGACAAAGGTGACAAGGTGCCGTGCATCTTGCGCATGGGCGGGTTGCTGTGCAATTTCGCATGACTGTTGGTTCCGTCAACGAGAGCACCACTTTGATCCCAAATCCCGGAAGTCTACCTGACCTTACACCATCGTAAATGGTCTTGATAGAGATCCCCCCCATACATAACCCTGAGGGTCCATGTACCCAAATAGTAGATACTTTGGCCTTAAAGCAGTCCCTATATAGGTACTTTTTGGGCCAATGTATATACTATGTGAGTACATGGACCCTTAGGGTAATTTAAGGTATCGGAGTTGTTGTGTTTAGTTAAGGGGCCTTTGGAATCTCTGGGTATGTAATACGTACCGGAGGCAGACCCTAAACCCTAAACCCT